GGTGACCAACAACTTTTTTTTTTTGTTTGGTGACCAACAACTATTATAGCAATTTCCTACATGTTCTTGTAATTATTCTTTTATTTACCTACATTTTTGTCGTCATTTTCCCTTACAATTGGTTGTCCTTGTATTTTTTTTTTTTTGGTCACGTTGTGCCTGCTTAATTCTCGTTTCAATGTAGAGGATGTTCTATTGGTTGAATGCATGCAAATTATAAAAAAGTTGATTAAATAATCCAATTATGCCCACTAAAATTAATATAAATTACAACTAACGATACACAACTGTAGGAATTAACTTAGAAAGAGAATTGACCTTTTTACATGTATGTCAACTAATCTTATGCAATCCAAGCACATTTTTAATACGATGTAACATAAAAGTTGTAAGCAATTGTTTCAGGCTATCTCAAACATGATAGAGTTTCTTAAACTTTCATGGAATCCTATTGACAATGATACAATCTCTAATTTTTTCGGTTCTATTTAATTTCTGTTTATCTTCAGAAAGACCCATTGTTCGGTACTTTGGTAGACATAATGACAAAACATGTATGTAACATGCATGTTACAAATAAATTTATGTGAAACTAATTAATTAGAACATCGTAATTTTACAAACAGAGGAGTATCAGAGATCTTAGCTAGTTTATTTAGTTAAAATAATATATACAAGACAGCAATTACAGGAAGGTAGATGAGTTTTGCAATGATGAATATTTTTTTTTTTTGTTTTGGTAAACAGCAATGATGAATAATTATTTGTATGTTTAACAAAAAAAGACTCTAGGATGTTTATAAGCTTTGGATACACTAACGTCATGGACTCATGGAGAGGGTCTTGGTCCATCTTGGACTGTTGGACAATAGAAGGAGAACACATAATTATCCTAAAGATCAAAGCTAATAAGCATTACGAAAAGGATTGTGTGGTTAATGAATATTTCGAAGAAATTATATTTATGGTATATTTTTTATACCATTTTTTCATACATAACTAATCGTTATACTTGAAATAAAAGAAAATAGATACATTTGATTTACTCAGACCAAAAAAGAAAAAAAAAATACATTTGTTTTACAAATTATCAAAATAATTGAATTGAGAGTCAGAAAGTAAACTCTAACGAAAGTG